GAAAAAAAGCGCGGAGAAGAGAGAGAGAGAGAGAGAGAGAGAGAGAGAGACACCCCCATATTCCCACACACACACACACACATTGGCACACACACACACATATCCCCCCCCCCCCACACACACACACACATTCCCACACTCACACAGACACGCACACATATCCCCCCCCCACACACACACACACGTCACGCACCTTGTGTCGCACGAGAACAATGGCAGCAAGGCCAAAGCAGCTGATGGAGAGACCAAGAGTGCCGATATGGGAAGCGGGGGACTTGTCGATGGACGCGGAGATGAAGTAACCTACGATGACGATGACGATGATGAGCAGTGAGCGGAAAGGGAAGCGCGAGAGCGCGTTAGCGGTGGCATCTTGAAGCAAGAAAAAGGTACACACACACATACACGCACACACACACACACACATACACACCCACGCACACACACGCGCGCGCGCGCGCACACACACACACACACACACAACCGCATGTGAGCGTGCCTTTCTTCTCAAAGACGGTCATGTTGGTTTCCTTGTCGACGATGATGTTGCTTGACAGCGTGTACGTGCTGACCAACGTCCCCACCGCAATGATTGTCTCCACCACCAGCATGATGGCGGGACTAAAGGTCTGGCGAAAATCTGTGAGCGATGCCAGCCGCTTTGCACGCGGCTTGGCTGTGAAGTGGCGTGTCTCCTTTGCTTGTGCCTGGTGCTCGGCCAGCTGCGCCCAGTACTGCGTGCGCAGGCTGCACACGTACTCGTGGAAGGCACTCGAGGAGATCATCAGCTCGTCTCCAAGCTCACGCAAGTCCGTTTGCAGCTGCTGTAGCCGCTCCATGCTGTCACCCTGCGCGCACTGCAGGACTAGAGCTCGCAGCGTACGAGTGTGGTCGGCGGGAACACGGGTGCACGCAAGCACGCGTCGCTCAAACTTCTTGATAATCTTGCTGAGCGCCGCCTGGTTAACGACGACAAACCTGCGGAGGGCCTCTGCTTGTTCGCTCAACGCCACATATGCATGGAGGTACTGCTCAGCCGCGTGGTCACCCACCACTTGCGGATCCTACAGAATGGCGTGAATTGTGCGTGCACGCGCGCGCGCGCGTGTGTGTGTGTGTGTTGTTTGCGAGTGTTTTAAGGGATGTGTGGAACAGTACAATGGAAGACAATCGGCGCACATGAAGGTGATGAGGGTGGGACAACGGCAGACGAATGCATAGACAGACAGGCAGACACAGACACACACAGACACAGGCAGACACACACACACGTACAGACACAGACACACACACAGACACACACACACACATACGCAGACACATACACACAGACGCGCACACACACGCAGACACATACACACGCACAAGCACACACTCACGATGCACCGACCGTTGTTGAAAAGTCTGTGTTGGCCAGGATTGCCTGAAGGTGGCCTCGAAGCGTGTCACGTTCTGGAAGAGGAAGGGACGAGCTCGCAGGAGCTGGGTTCTCGGCGGTGTCGGCTTCAGGTTCGGCTTGATCGCTGCTGTTCTGTGCAAAGGAGTGAGTGCTCGTGCTGTTGGTTTCTGGTGCAGGAGCGGTCGCTTCTTGTAGACCAACGCCATTCACAGTGTCGGTGTTGTCGTCACTGCTGTTGTCATCGACATCTTGAGCAGTGTTGAGTCCAGTGACTGGGTCGAGTGGAGCGGCGTCAGGCTGGAGAAGGCGATGGTCACCAGACAAGCGAGGGCATCGGCCCCACAACGCTTCAAACTTGTGGATGGTCTCCTCGAAGAAGGCGTCCACCACATCCACGTTATCTGTCAGCATCTGCATGAACGCGTCCACCAGACTCTCCTGGTTTTCCCTCTCACCATTGGAGGTGATGGCGAAGACGAGTTCCTGCATCGAAACACCCGGGTGGCCAATGAGCGTTGTTCCAATGTACCATGAGCGTGCACGTCATGGCACACGAGATGGCTAAGATGTGTATTGATTGATGAACAAGCGCACATGAAATGTCACACACACACACACACACACACACACACACACACACACACACACACACACACACACACACACACACACACACACACACACACATTCAAGGAACGGGAGGTGTTACCCCCCTCCCTGTGGCTGTGAGATTGCGTACCTTGAGTGCCCTGTACTGGATGTACTTGTCTTCCCATCCTTTCTCCATCAATCCACTCTCCAAACGGCGTCCAAACTTCATCGTGGTGGTGCGGATTGCGTTGTCGTGTGGTTGTGTGTGTTTGTTTGTTGCTGCGATTTTTTGAGTTTGGCGGCAGCCAAGCAGGAAGAGACAGCAGAGCAGAAGGCAAACAAGCGCAACAAGAAGGGATAACACACAGGGCGAGTGCAACGAGGCATGGAAGATAACAGGGCGAGATGCGGCAGTGAACGAAGGTTGACAGGAGAGATGACGCATAGGAGACCAAGTTGTACCAACGCAGCAGAAGAGAGAACAGGGTGTGGTACAGAAAACAAACCCCCCAAAAAGGGATGAATGGGCAGGCCCTAAGGCCTGGAGTTCACTCGTCATATCGGATGAAGTACCCCTGCAGGCCAGCGCCGTTGAGAGAGCCCGAGTTGACACAGCGGAACGCGAACGACACGGTGTGCTGGCCAGCATCGAGCACAACTGCGCGCGCGTTCTGGAACGTCTCCCACTGCGGTGAGTAGGAGTGGGCAGGGCCAAGTGGCTGCAAGGCAGTGCCGTACTGCTGGAGGGGTGTATTGGCATCCCCATCAAACTGAACAAACGACGAGTCGAGCGTGTGTGAGTGTGTGAGTGTGTGTGTGTGTGTGGGGGGGGGGGGTTAAGATGAGCGAGAGAGGAGAGGGAGGAGCGGCAAGACAGTGTCTGTATGGGATGTGAGCCAGGATACCATCCGTGGGTGAGGGATTGGAACCATGCGCGGCACACCAGAGCAGAAGAGGCAGATGATGGCCTTGGCAGAACACAGGCAAGCAGTGGGGGAGGGGGCACACACACACACACACACACACACACACACACACACACACACACACACACACACACACACACACACACACACACACAC